ATACCCAGCTCTGTCTAGAAACCTAAGTGGACACTGCTGGCTCAAGCTACAACTCTCCGACTTTTATCCACTCTGACGATCTGTTTGATGTCACTTTCCCCTGTACACTATAAGCTCCATGAAGGCAGGGCCTTCATTTGCTTTACCACTGTATGACCAGAACCTAGGAAAGAATCTGGCATTCAGCAGGCTCTCAGAATGTATTGTCTTTTATAGGGCTCCTGGACCAGAGCAGGGCAAATGGTGCAGGGAGAGGGAAATAGATTTTAACTTTTGTAGCTCAAAAAGCAGTAGGATGGAAATGAGAGGCGGAATCACAAAGAGGCCCCACACAGCAATCAAAGGCTGGGGATGACTAAGCCCCACCCTGCCTGAATAAGAACATCCGGAGAGTCAAGTTAAAAGCTGCTTGGGAAATTAAAAGCCCTAGGCTGGGTGTTTCAGAAGCTGAATAGCATGGCCATTCTCTGATGCTACCATTTCATCTCTCTTCTTCCAACACCTTTGATGCCAGCTCACATTTTCTTTAATCACAGCAGAAAAATAAATGATGTCACTGTTGCAGCCTTCTCAAAATAGCAAAGAAGCAAGCCTCTTCCAAAACGGGCCACGTTTGATATTACATAAGTCTTGATGCTTTGAGCAAATATCACATTTTCAGAAGTCTGGCTAGGTCATGGTGAACTAATGGAAAAAGCACTCAGCAGAGACAAGGAAATGGGGTTGCAGTTTCAGCTTTGCTACAAAATCTTTGTCCATGGGCAAGTCATACCACTGCTCTGGACCTTATTTCCTGCATCTGAGAATAAATGTGCCATGCTGAAGGATAGAGGGTACCTGCCAATACTAAAATCAGAGATTACACATTACACTCAGAGCCTGTCTCAGGAGAGCCCAGCTGCTCCTTCAGGGTCAGTCTTCCAGCCATGTCTGAAAATTCCATCCTTCTTCCTTCTTCCTGCAGTGTGGCCTTTCCACATAGAAATATTGTTCTCTCGAGTGTTATCAACTCGAAACTGGGGCTTGCCTTTTACACATCTTAAAGTTACCTGTGTTTGGACAGAGGCAAGGTATATGGGTTTACTTTATTCTTAGTACACACAGTATCAGCACCTTAGGGAGAAGACCAAAGATTTATGTTCCCTAACCTTTCCCAGCACAGTGCTAGGCACATCACAGGTGCTCCATTGGCATTTTTCAACCTTACTGGCAGAATGTGTAAGTAAATTTGGGAATACTGTTATTACTCTCAATTCCTCTGAACTCCAAGAGATTAACTCAGCTACCACCTAAGCCCAAACTTTCTTGCTAAAGGATATCTTACCACAAGGTGGCCAGGATTGATTTACCTGATTATGGATAGTGCTACACAACATCTCTGACTCCTCATCAATAAGTAAATATCTATTTCAGTAGGACTTTTAAAGTTACACTGGCATTGGTAATAAGGAGCAACATTTTTCTAGGATGTGCACTCCAAAATCGACAGATATTGCTCAATAGAGGTACAAGGAGACTCACTGGTAACAAAGTACAAAATATTGCCAATTCAAACAGGCTCCTCCATCACAGAATACATATATATGACCCTAGAAACCAAGATGATTTAACACATATCAGGCCTCAGGGCAGACACAGTTCTGAGGTCTTTTATTTCAGTGTGAAAGAAAGAATTTTTAAACTTGAGGGGAAAGTTCACAGGCAAGACAGCCTTGCATGAATGCTAAATATTAGGTATCTGTATCTTTTTAAACCACTTTTAACATCTGTGTTTCAAATGGGTCCCCAAGTTTAAGTCAGTCTCAAATGGGGCAATAATAATCTATTTTCTCTCAGAAATGAGCTCAGAGTAGTTAGCAAGGGGGCTTAGCTTCTGGTATGTTCCTTGGCCAAACAGGCCTTCCCTACCTGAAAGGCCTGAAAGGTCTCCTGTTTATGGGAGACACAGCCCCCTGAGGCAGTGGTAAGGAGAGAAAGGGCCTAGCCAGGCAGATCCAGTCAAATCAACCTGGTATCCAGAGGGTAGCAGATAGGCAGCTGGCTGTGCACCCCAATTCAGATGGCAGGGGAGGAGGGGCCAGGCCAGGCACCGCAGACAATGAGGGTGCTGTCCACCATCACCCTCCCAGACCAAGACCTCCAGTGTCCTTCCTAGAAAACAAGACGCTTTCAGTTCCATTTTATACACAGAGAGAGTGATTATTTTAGGCCTGAATATAGAAACGGACAATGAAGGCTTTAAAAAGATGAATATTTTGTAATAGCCCAAGTGCTTTTAAAAAAAATAAATATCATTGCTTTCTTCTATTGGCCCAAAAATTGCATACTAAAAATCAACTTGGGTTGGGAGTATAGCTCAGCGGTGGAAAGTGCGTGCTTGGCATGCATGCAGCCCTGGGTTGGATTTCTAGCACCAAAAATAAATAAACAAACATGAAATTTACCATTGGGTATGCTCACAAAGATCTAAAAAAGACATACAAAAAGATTAACTGAAGCACTATTTTTAGTACTAGGAAAATGAATGAAACTATGTATTCACCACGAATAAGTTGGTTAAATCAGTTATAGTGCATCCATACCATGAAATACCACAAATTTTCAAAAGAAATGGCATAATTTTGTGTTTGGTGCACAAAGAATACCTGAGTATGTTAAAAATAATTTCAAGTACAAGTGGCAGAATATTATGTGTTAGTACTAATTCTGTGTGTACCAATTATATGTGGGTATACGCATACAGGAAAGTTCTAAAAGGATAATTACTAAACTTCACAGGAGTGTCTCGTGAGAATGAAGAGAGAATTGAGAATTAACACATACAAATCTATCTTCAACAGTTTTTATAAGTATATGTTTTTCATTTAGTTCTTGGATGAACCATAACACAGTATCATTACTGGTCCATGCATGGGCCACTTTTAATCAGGTAATTTTAATTTTTAAAAAGCACTTATAAATCCACTACCCCAAACAAATCCTTAATCCTTAACAATAACCTAAATCTAATTATGTCTGCCCTCTATTACCTTGTCTTCCCACACTGCAGGCAGCTATCACTCCAAATGCTACATTCATCATTACCTGAATAATTAACAAATACTGACAAGGCAGAAGGATAGCAAATTCAATCCAGCAAGAGCCTGTCACAAAACAATTTTTTATAAAAAGCTGGGAAGGTATTTTAGTGTAACAGCACTGTGTTCAATTTCCAGTACTGCAAGATAAACAAAATAACACACACACAGACACACACACACACATATAATTTTTTTTTTTTGTACCAGAGATCAAACTTGGATCCTTGTGCTTTCAAGGCAGGTGCTGGAACCACTAAGCTAAATCCCTGGCCCTGTAATAAAAATTTTTAAAGGGCTGGTGATATAGCTCAGTGCAAAGGCCCTGGTTCAACTGTCAGTACTGTAACAATATATACAAAAATGTTATAAATAAAGTAAACATAAAAATAAGTAAATGTAAGACACTAATTTTCTGGCCATCTAAACTCACTATTCTTGAATTAAGCATAAATATTACAAAGTTAATTCTAGATTTGTCTCTATACATAGAGCAACCCATCTTCCATTTTCCCAGCCTTGCAACCTGGGTCACTTGGGTGCTCATTCCAGCAACTAACACTAGAAGTGGAAACAAAAAAGTTTTCTTTCATTAGAAATCATTTCCCTGGGGAGGAGGGGAGCAGTAGCTGACTCAAATTTATCCTAACTACATACTATTAAAAATGTTTAGTATGAACAAAAATGTCTAGGCTTCAAAGTAGGATACAAATATCTAATGAAAGCATGTAAAGATTTCTTTAACATATAGGGCAGTGATGGTGAACCTTGTAGAGCTTTCAGTGATGCAAACAGCCCACTGCAGCATGCATGCCACAGGCTTGCCACCACTGATATAAGGTTTCTCAAGAAGTTTTTGGTTTTTTTCCTCATTGAGTTTATTGGTACATTTTAGGTATATAGTACCTAAAAGTACCTAAAAGTTATAGTACCTAAAAGTACCTAAAAGTTATATAGTACCTAAAAGTTATATTCATTATCAAGAAGTTTTCATTAATATATTTTAAGAGAAAATACAAGACATAAAAGTGCTAGAGGGCAAAAAGGATGAAATTAAATTTCTATAATAGCACTCAAATAATTTGGAACCCTACCTTCTAGGATATTTTACTCCATCAATTTTTATTCATTTGATTCTGTGTACTCTGAGCCTCCATTTGAAATGAAATCTGACATTCTGAATTTGGAAAATACACTGAATTGTTCTGTATACTTTCCCAGTTTGAGTTAAATATATACTTATTGATAAGGAAATACTCCTTCAAGTACAGTACAAGGATTTTTCAAATAATAGCTTCTATGATCACCTATGACTTGTAAAACCAGTGCCACGTCTTTACAGTCAAGACTAAAAGAAAATTCTCAAATCACAGCAGTACAGCTATATCAGGGTTTCCTAATGTCTCCCTCCAAATACAAATTATAATTAAATGGATTCTCAACTATTGACATTTCATTAATATGGTCAGATAATCCAAAATGGCCAATCAGCCAAAATTATTCATATTTGGAGCATATTTGTATACTTGAATAAGATAGTATTTCATGCTCTTGACTACTATATCATATAGAGACAGTCAGGAGGACAGACTTTCCCAGCATGCCCTTCCTGCCTTCCCATCCAATTCAAGCTTGTAGACCATGGATCCACCATGGGAACTCTTCTTACCCAGAAAATTGTATGTTGTTTACAATTTCCTGGGTGACAAGGAGTTAAGATATTTTGACTTCAGGGTTGCTGGACTGTTGACCATACCTAGAGAATAATATCAAAGCCTTGTGCCTTGTGGTTCAACTATATTAAGGAAAAATTACAGCCAAAGCATCTTCAAATCATAAAAACAAAACCTAGCTCGACATTTCGTTAACTTCGGACAGGAGTTACTAAAGGAATGTGTCTAGCCAGTTTTGGGACACACTTACTCTTCTTTCCTAAGAAGCTCCTCTTCTGACTCTGTCAGGCGCTGCCTCAGTGCGGCGATCATTTCCACAGCCACATCCACCTGTCTGTTCAGGGCTCGTTCTCGTCTCTGAACTTCTTGCTTTTTCTGAGTCAACTGCACAAAAGCTGCCCGAACTTCCAACAGTTCCGCAGTTTTCTGAGCCAACTCTTTGGTGAGTTTATCAATTCTCTTCTCGATGGTCCTATCCACGGCTTCAACCATCCGATTAAATTTTTCTCTGATATGTGCTTCAAAAGCAGCTTTGGTGTCAGAGGTGGGAAGCCCAGGGCTCGACCGCGGCCCATCCAGAGAGTCTGCACGTATGTCCATGGCAGTGTAGGTCTGCACATAGGACACAGGCCTCTCTGCCACCACCTTGAATGGCTTCTGGTCTTTGGAGTGTTCATGAGAAATGCTATACAAATTAACATAACTTGGTTTCTGCCTGACCACATGGCCATGGCTCTGCAACTTTCCCTGTTTCAGAAATTCTGAGGAAGGGACAAGGTCTGTGTCTTTGAGAGATGGAAAGAGGCTGCATTTTGTCAAGAGGGTTCTTTCTTCGTATCTGTGACTGAATTCCAGATGGGCCCTCAAGGATGACAAGCTTCTAAATCTGGTATGGTCTCCACACCTCGGGCAGCGGAATGGCAGGCACACAGCAACATTCTCAAAGGACTCCTGCCAGGGATATCTGCTTTCCTCAAAAGCCTTCTGTTGCATTACTCTAAAAGTCCTGTGAGGGGGAGAAAATGGGCAGTTTACATGTCTATTTTTTTTAAAAAATGCTACTGAAATGATTACTGCTCCTGTCTATAAGAGAAGCAGCTTTCTGGCTTAAAATGACATTTGCATATATTTTATGTTGGACTTTATACTAAAATTAAAATTTACAGGCCATAGGCCAAACCTAGCCACATCCATTCCTCTCTGTGTCATCTGCTGACTTTGCACGGTGTCAGAGGTAAGTATTAGAGCTGAGACAGTGACTACGGCCTGCAAAGCAAAAACTGCTTAATGCCCAGTCTCTACAGAAAAAGTTTACCAGACCCTACTGAAAAAAAAAAAAAAAAAAAAAGCTGGGTGCTACTCTTTCTTTGCAGATGAGAAAACTGGAACAAGGAAGTAATGAATCCAAGGCCAAGTGCAAGCAGATTCAGAAGTGAAACTCAAGTTTCTCACCCTCCTGAATTTAGTATATGACATGTAGAAACTACCCTACACTCATTTAAAAGTGAAGAAAATCCACAAAAATAATAGCTCCTAAGGGACGAGGTTCATTGATCTTTCCTCAAGTGTAGGAAAAATTACTCAAACTAAGCACAGTAGCATAAAGCACACCATCAGCTAAAAAATTTTTAATCTGATATTTTTGCCTTTAATGTTCATTATTGGTGTGATGAAATAAGTCAATGGATAATCATAACAATAATCGTCCCATTTTCTAGCCTTACTGAAATCTGGGGACTCAATGGGTTAAATATCATATAGTATAAGCAGGGTTATGGCCAAAATTTTATTATAATAAGTGTTCTGCCTTGTCTTTTCCTTTCAACTTGACAAGCTGTAGAGACGGCCAATTTGGAACCAGACCGGTATCAGGATAACTCTTTTAGTAACAGGAAGTTCTTGTTTCCTTGTAGGAATCTATTACCTTCACCCTAGCAACAGATGACTATTACAAGCTAATTCTGCAAGCAACGCACATCTATTCCTTCCATAAACAGCTTCTACTTAAACGCAACAAGCACTGGGCCCCACAAGAATGGAACCTAGATGGGTCTAACAGTGAAGTGTTCTTATCAGGTCCTCAACCGCGTCAAAAGCCCAGGTGCAAATGATCCCCAATCAGTACGGTAAAGCTTCCAAGGTAATGAGCTTGTGGTCCCGGAGAGGGGAAGCTTTTCCTGTGCTGCAATGGGATGTTTACCTCTGGCTTTCTGGGGATGGGATGCAAACCCTGGACCAGCTCAGGGCCGAGGACACTGACGCTGGCAAGAAGAGGTGGAGAAAAGGGAAGTGGAAATTCTGGAGAGGTTACTGGAATCGGGTGGCATCGCTGGATAGAGAGACAGGTAACCACGCACTCCCTAGCACGCAGGCTTTTATGGGCCCAGCGGAAACCTCAGGGCACAGGGTTGGCGGAAAAGCTCCGCTTTACTCTGCCAGAGCCGGGGAGGGTAAGGACGACCCAGCTCACCTCCAGGGTCCCGGTCTCCCCGCCCCCGCCCGCTGCCGCTAGCCCGCGGGCGCACAGTGGAT